GACCCTTGTCAATCATTTTTTGTCACTTACCAAAGGAACTAGATAAGAATAGTATTGAGAATTTTTTCAAACATAAAACATCCACGCTTAGATTTCAATGGAGACCATATTTAGGTGGCCCTGAGCAGGCTTTTGAATCAATTGACTGGGTTTCTATGTTAACTAACATAGAAGTCTGTCCAAGGCCTAAGTGACTTACTTGCCTGATGAGCCAGGGGCTGGGAGGTAGAAACAGAACTTTCCATGCCAATGGTCACTGTAGAAACTTGTAGTGTTCTGTGACATTGTGATGTTTCTGAAGTCAAGATAACACCACAGCTGGGGGCACTGACTCTCCCTCAGAACTCCAACGCAATAACTTCCAATCTTAGAGATAAAACAGTTCTCTCATTATGCAAAGATTTACTATTTGAAATGTCCTTGTTCCATTTTCATAAGTCCTTGCTCATATGAGGCAAGAACACTCCCACTGAGCCATCTGCCAGCCCTGTGGCAGAGGGGAGGAAGAAGAAGAAGAGGAAGACTAGGAGAAGGAGAAGGCGGAGGAAGAGGATCTTGGCCACAGGAGCTCTGCCCATCCCGGACCCCTGTATACCATATTATTTGATCTATTGTCTTTTACCTTCCACCATGCACACTTGCCCAGAAGATCAGGAGACTGGCCAGCTCTCAATAAAGCTTTACTTTGAATTCTATTTTTACTTTTTACTTTCTGTTCTTTATTCATCAACTTACTATATTATTATGTCTGTTTTATCTTCTTTATTTTTTTCTAAATTCATTTCAATGTTTGTCTTTCGCCTGTTGTTTAAAAGAATATTATAGCAAGTGAATTCATAATTCCAGTTCTCTTTCTAATTCTGTGATATTTTCTACTCTGTCTTTCATTTTTTAAAATTTTATTTTAAAGAGAAATAATGGTAATGAATTGTCTCCATAGTATAAAAAATTGAAAAAGTAAATATGATCCAAAATCTAAAATAGATATTGTGAAAAAGAATGAAACTTCTCAAGAGGATAGAACAACTGGGATAGGTGAATGGAGAGATGAAGGAAGGGAAAAAAATATATATATATCTTATAAAAATGTTGCAAAAATACCCCATTAAACCTGAAAAGACACAATGAGTCATTCACAATAGATGTGAAGTCCAATTCATAATAATGTGTATTGTTCCAGTGTCCCTGGAGCCAGAGTACTCTCTGTGTTGCAGGAGAGAAAAAGGGAAAAAAAATGTTTAGTTATTTTAAATAAAATCAACTTTAATCTAACCAGCACACCAAAAGGAAAGAAAGCTTTCATGACACCTAACACATACAAAATCTTACATAAAGCTTATCTCAAAATTTGTCTGAGAGCTTATTTTCCCAATTGTACAGCTCTCTCCTTCTCTTAGGGAGAACATTTTTCCCCAGATAAGTTGCTACTCCAGTTGAAATAAAGATGTGGTGTATGCTGACACACATGCATGCATATATACATAATTAGCAACGGTTTTAGCTTATAGCTTTAGAAACACTCAACTAAATGACTGTCTACTTCAATTCCTGTCCAGAGGGTCTCTGTTTTGTTTTTTGTTTTGAGGGCTTTTTTTTTTTTTTTTTTTTTTTTTTGCTGTCTTTTTGCTTCTTACTTTTTCACTGCCTCCTAATTTTACCATTGGGGATAGATAATTGTTACTGTTTACTTGTGGGTGCCAATCTCTAGAAAGTTAAAAGAAAGCGTGTAACTTGTTTTTAATCATTTTTTAATTCAAGACAAAGAGTTCTAGGCTGCATTGTGATTCTGATCAGGCTTCTTTAGCTCCAAATGTTTGTTATAAGTGACCTCATAAACTTCATAATGTCCTCCACTTCCATCTTCCCTTAACACATAATGAAACCACTTTTTCCTTCCAGGGTAGTGTGAATTCTTTGCTAAATGGAGACTGTCTCAGTGAATATCATCCATGAAAAGAGTTATGGTTTTATGAATGTGTACTGTGGCCCAATTAAGTCCAAAATGCTTCTCTCTCTTTCATTTTTCTCCTTTAATTATATTGCTACATTGTAGTGAATTGAAAGTTCTGATATCAGGTTTTATCTTTGTATCTGGTGAACTTACCCTCCTTCACAGCAATTATCAATTCATCAAAAGAGGATGGCCCTTTCATTGGAATTGCAAAGTGAATTCTGTTCCTCTTTTTCCAACCTACTTCTATAAATAGTAGAAATCACTTCCAAATAATTGTTACATCCATTTTATCACCCTATATCTACTATCAAGAAAATTAAGAGAATATTTGCAAGATGGATGAATATTCATATCCCTTTTGTGTAAATGTCTTTCTAAGAAGATAATTAGATATGATTCTCAAATGAGAGCTACAAGATCTCACCTAGTATCTTTGTAATTTTGTTTCCAAAGACAGAGGTCTCTTAGTGCACAATTGTTTGGATTTGTTTTTCATCCATCAGGTAGATACGAGCTTTTCCTACTGTTCTGGGTGATGGTGACAGAGCAATAAACAAAAAAGAATGGCTTTAGCCATTATAGAGTTTTGATGTAGTATTGGAGATGCAAATAAACTAGTTAATAGATTAACAAGATCAATTGTAGTAGTACTATGCACTAGAAAGCAAAGAGGTAAACATGCTAAAAACTGGGCAGAAGTAGAAGGTTACTACTACACAGTGAATGGTTATAGAAAGTCTCTTTGATGATAAAGAAACAAATTCAAAACCTGAACGAAAATGAAAATTAAAACCCAAATGAAGCTCTAAAGAAAAGCTATTTTCAGGTCAAGTGAGCAATAGGCCCCTTTCTGTTTATGGATAAACAGAAAGCTACCTGTAGCTAGAGCAGAATAAGCAAAGGAAAAAATAGTACTCAGTGAGATCACAAAGGTAGACAGAATAAGGTTAGGTTGAGGAAAGTTTTAGTAAACTTCATTAATTTGATAAGTATAGCCTGTGGGCCCATGTAGACTAGAGTTACTTTTACAGCACATTCTCTTTCAATTCTCCAAATTCCTTCACCACATCTAGAGTAGACAAACCTGGATTGTTCTAATTTTAGCACTGCAAGTCTATGTCCCAAAAAATCTCTCATTCCTGGACAAATCAACATGGTTTTTCATCCTATCATATCTTAAATCCTTTGTCTACATATTCTAAAATACATAAATACCATTCAAATTCCTGAGCTGTATCTTTTCAAAGGTTGCATGATAGAAACACCAAGTGTGCTCTGTGACCCAACTTAACTCCTTTCTTTCATTTTTTTGTTCTTTCATTTTAATTCTAAGTTTTTCTTTTTTGTGTTCTGAAGGAAAAGTAAAGTTATCTGATTGGAAAAGGACAGAGATGGGAGAGAAGTGATAGTAAGCTCACTTCTCATGTAAACATTATCTCTAGGTCAATCTTAGTGACAAGAACACTCAGAAGTCAGTGAAAATGGGTGCATATTTTCAGCAGAGGCTGAATTGATGCCTGTTAGCATGAATTGGAAGTATACCAGCCCTGTAAGATTCTGTGATCCATCATATCTGCAGGGTAAACAAGAAATACATCATGATTTCTGCCTATTACATGTGTGGAGGATTTTCTGGGTAAAGGACTATCCGTATCAGTGACAGTTTATTAGAGAAACAGATATAACACAAGATATAAAACTGTATAAGAAATTACAAGATTGGTTTTCAGTGGTCAGCCACAAGGTTGAATAAGGGAGCGTCCAGGCGATGCCTGCGTGATGGAGGCTGAAGGGTCCAGCCAAGGGCTACAGCTCACTGCAGTGTCCCATGCAAATCCACATGGGGAGGCCGATGAGTCTGTGATGGAGCACTGAAGAATCTATGATTGAAGATCTGAAGAGTCTATGATGTAAGGCTGAAGAGACCCATGCAGAAGCAGGATAGTCTGTGCCAGATGGCAGTAGAGGATATCCAATTTGAAAAGGAAGACTGAAGGTTTTCTGAAGAAGCAGCCATCAGTCTCTCCTCAGTTGCCTTTTAAATGTATTCTGGCTGCTCCACTGGGGTGGGTGTAACACTCATACCATCTGCCTGCCTTCCTCTTGCACAGGATGAGGATGTTACAAAGTAGGGACACTGGCCTCCTGCTGAGTCACTTAGTTACAGTTCCGACTTTCTCAAATTGACCCAATGAACAATATCCTAGACTTGTAACTGCTTACCCCCTACATCTCAGGATGTAGAGTTGCTGAATCACTTAGTCAAGCTTCTAGACTTCTGAAGTTGAGACAATGTATAAACCATAACATTGTCTGTCTTATAACTGAGGTTGAGAGGATTACCACATTTAAATCAAGGGCAAGAGGGATGTATATTTCTAACTGATGAGTCATGTGTGAGATAAATTCCATTTTTGTTGTAGTATAATCTCTAAGAGTCCATAATAGTTTGTTAGTGATCACAGATCTAGGGAGCCTTGTATTCATTCTTAACAGATAAGGACACATCAACATCAAGGTCTTGATACAAACTATAACTATTTGGAAGATTGCAGCATACAGCATACAAACTGTAACTATTTGGAAGATTACAGCAAGAAATAAATTGAAACACTGCTTCTCTGCAAAAATACTCCCTGCTCAGTTACATTTTTTGAAATGGCCTTTAACTTAAGATGTTCTTGTTTTGCTGCTGTATTTTTTAAATGAAAGCTCATTATCTGAAGGACCATTAACCTTCAGCATCATTGACATAAATAAGATGTACTTTTTACATTAAACACAAACTGTTCAGCTGCTCAAGGAGTGACCCATAAGTATGACATTCAAGAGATGACCACGGTGAGATGTATAGGCATAAGGTGAGTCAGAGGTACTGGTGGGGGATATTTGGGGAGGTGGGTGAGGGTGGATGAGGAGCAAAATCATTTCTGGCTAATAAAGGACTTTGCTTCAATCATTATAGAACATAATTATTTGTTGTTTTAGAAACATTAATTTTAACCCATGTGTTCCTTTTATTCAATATCATGGACATCACGGGCAGACAGTCAGTCAAGACATGCTGAATTGAATGGAACAGCAAGAAAATGGGTATTAGAAATCTACTTTATCCAATATCTGCAAAATTAATTTGACGGAGGTTCTGAATTCCTTACAGGTAAGTAAGAATGACTGACTTGGATTTTTCTTTTATAGTTTTCTTAGTCAAAGAATGTAAGTTCAGTGAGATTATGGAAGTCCTTGATTAGACTGTTGGGTGGTTTGCGAAGTGCTCACTCCAAACCTCTTACCCTTAAGTCTCATTCCTAAACATGAAGTTAGTTTGCCTGAAATTTCAGTATCCCAGATTTACTTATCTGGTTTAAGGCATTTAATCTTCTGGAAGTGACTGCTTCTATGTGATGGTTTTGCAAATTGTAATTTCAGTTTAATTATCCAATTATGTATTAATATTTTGGCACAACTTAGGAACTAAGAATTTGCTTTTTTGGAACATTTTGTTGAGATATGAAGAATGAAGATGGACCTTTTTAATGGGGTTGTTACTGTGAGAATACAAGGTATAAAGAACAGTCATAAAGCATGGAACAGGAACAGGAACAATAATATAGCTTCTGTGAGTGTGCTAGAGACTAGAGGTTGAGAAGCAATAGAGAGCAGAAAATCATGCTGATAAGTACAAACAAAATGAATGAATATAGATAATGATATAACTCAGATGGGAAAAGAAAATAGATTTAAAACAATCTGGACTTTCTACTGATATGGACTAGTATCTTACTGCCATGAATACTTCGTGATACAGAATATTTTCTGAAGTCAAATCATTGTTGAGATTAATGAAATTTAACAAATATGTATTATATATAATACACTGTGTAAAAAGGTGACAGAGTTCTTGATGAAGCTTAAATCTTGGCAAAGTTTACTTATAACTTTAATCAGTGTCATAGAATATAATTATGGTTGTACAAAGAAGCATCAAGGAAGTGCCTAATCCAGCCTTGGGTACAGTCATAAGAAGCTTCCCAAGGAGAATAGTTTCATGATGATGCAAGAAGAATCTGTAGCAGTATGCTAAAGATCCCCTTTGTGGGGAGAAAATGAATTTCATGCAGGGAAAAGAAAATACACAGAAGTCCAAGAGGCAAAAGAGACATTGGCACTTTCAGGGAACTGAAAAGAAAAATCTGATTGGGGCAGAACAAGTCAGAGTGAAGTTAGAGACCAGAACGTGCAGAAGCTATGTCAGGTAATGCTAACCCTGTAATAGGAACCTAGAAAACACATTCTGACGCAGCAAACGGCATAGGATCTCATGTATGGGGGTAGTAGAAATGATCAGGTAGTTGTGTTTCCAGCAGATTCTCTAACACAGAACATAGCAGAATAGGAATGAAGGGCTGTTAAAAGTCAAAATAGTTGCTGTGGGCCTAACACCATTATTCTCTATATAGAAAGAGAAGTCCTCCATACTCAACCGATGAAATATAGTTTATCCTGGATACAGTACTCAGATAATTACGTGTGGCCTCTCTCTGCACATAGCAGGTCAGAAACAGCAGCACAGAAAAGGAACAAAGCATGGTGACCCACTCCTATAGCAAGTTTATAGTTAATCACATTGAAGCTTCAAGAAATGACATAAAAGTGGAAACTGAAAACTAAAGACTGAAGAGAAGAAAAATCTTAGATGTCTGGGACTTTTGTTTTCTAGGGGAAATAAAAATACCTACCCTGGTATTTCTTAAAGGCATAATTACATGACAGCATCATACTATGTTTAATAATGACACTAAATCAATAGGAAATATTTAAATTATATTAGATAAATTCTGTTTAAGTAAGCATATGTCTCGATCAAAAATTTTTTGTTAATGTGCTTTTAATTTTAAGTTGAGGCAGTGTATCATAGGAAAAAACACACTGAAACTCAAAAACATCCTTCCTAAATTGTACCTCTCATTCTCAGGCTGGAACGTTCTAGGATCTTATCAATTAAATTGTAAATTAAACCTAGGCCATCTGCATGAGACTTTGGAGATTTCACTCGGCATTGTTGACAGTGGCTTATCACAGATCTCAATGCATACAGTAGATGTTAATAAACAAGTGCTTGTTGAATGAATCATTGAGGTGCCCAGTTTTAGAGAGTTAAAACGGGACTGGATTCTCTGGAAAGGAAAATGAGGAAGACAAATACAATCTTTCTTAGCAGGTGTTGGTTAGTTTTCGGTAATGTAGCAAATACCTGAGATAATCTCCTTATGAAGACAATAGTTTTACTTTGGCTTACTGGTTTAGAAATACCAGTTCATGATCAATTGGCTCCATTGCTTTTGGTCTTGTGGAGAGGCAGTACATCATAGCTGCAAGTGCATGGCAAAATAAAAACTATTCATTGAGGAAGAGAGAGAGAGAGAGAGAGAGAGAGAGAGAGAGAGAGAGAGAGAGAGAGGAAAAGGCTGGGGTCCCCTGTATCTCCTTCAAGAAGTATCCCTCGATCCCTGGTACCGATAAAAACGAAAAAGACAAAAAAAAAAAAAAAAAAAAAAAAAGAAGTATCCCTCAATGACAAATGACTAGAAGTCCTCATAATAGGTCCCACCTTTTAGTTTCTACCACCTTCCAGTAGTGTTAAAATGGGGACTAAACTGTTAGCATGTAGGCATTGAGTACACTTAATTTCCAAACTGTAGAAGCAGGCATTTAAGTGCCTACTATGTAGCAGCAGTATGCAAAATGCATAGGGGTTCTGTGCAGAACAAATATGACTTAGGCTTTTTTTGCATTCCTTGGGGTAGAAGTTAAAAAACCTGCTAGGAGCCTAGGGGAGTAATTGAAGCAAGTAATAATGGTGGTCAAAATCAAAAAGGTAGCAATTAATATAAGAAAAGAAGGATAGATTCTGGGTATATTTTTAAAGTAGAGCCAGCAAGATTTCTTGACGGACTGAATATGATTATAAGGGAGAACATGAGTCTAAGATGTCTTTAAGGTATTGAGTCTGAGACATAAGAAGTATGGAGTTGCTAGTGCTTGAGACAAATGCTTTAAGTAGGTTGACAGTTCAGTTTTGATCACACTGAATTTGAGATGTGTATTGAACTTACAAGTGAAAATATCAAAAACTCATTTGATTATGTGAGTGGTGTTTGGAGAAAGATGTAGGATAAATATATGGAAGTCACAAGACTGGATGAGACTATGAAGGAAAGGCAAAAGAAAAGAACTGAGAAAGCCTGGGGGCCCGCTGCATCAATAGGGCATTGCTGTTTGTCTAGAGATAAACTATGTCTGTCTTCTTTTTGTGGGGTAAACACAGCAGGAACCAACCTGCCTACAGCAACTCCTTGAATGTGTCTTTGACTTTAACATTAGCTCTCTGTACTATGATCCATTGTGCATTACTCTCACAGCAATAACAGCTAAATCTTCCATGTGATAGTTAAACCTTAAGAGGTTGCTTGGTTATAAATATTTATCATTACCTCCAGGCTAGTATAATAATTATTAATCCCAGCCAAATAAGAATCAATTCTTACTATGGTGAGGAGATATTTTTCTCTGCATAATTCATATGCAAATGTTTTGAAAAGCAGTTTGAAATGCAAACTGCCACCCATCAGTTTGCTTTTTGCAAGGGAGAGGGAAGCAACATTGTCTCTAGATTCTGAGAACAAGCACTGGCAATGCTCCATACATCTTCAACTTATTGTTTACAAGCTGTAACCTCGTATGGTATTTTGTGTAGAAAATTCACATTTGAAGCTGCTACATGTTGTTTAACATCATTGCAAGAAACTTTTCTCTTGTTTTTAGGCCATTCTTCCTCTTTTCCACCCATTTTGGGCTGCAAGCACTGAGTTGGAGACACAATATTTTAAATGTGGAAGTGGAAAAGAGAAGTAGCAAGTGCTGGGGCCAGAGCATTACTCTAAAGTCCTTGTGTTCCCTGCTCTGCCTCGCAGGTAGGACTACGCTTGGAATTATTTCTGGTTTCTCTGAAACTTTCTGGACATACTTCACATTGGTTCTGAGTCTACAGGGCTTGAGTTATTCAATCTTGATTTCTAAGTATATGACTCTATTGACAGTGATAATTCACACAACTGGGTTCTAAGTGGAAATTCATGTATGCTTTCTAAAACAGGAGTTTTCAGACTGAAATGTATATATTATTTTGTGTTCATGAAAACTTTCTAAAGGGCAGGCCAAAGCAGTTTTTTTAAAAAAAATTTAGGGCTTACATGCCCAATTTTCTAAAATGCTTTTCCTAAAATAATCTGTAGTTGGATTCTCATGCCACTTCTCTTTTCACCCTTCAACTGCTTTATAAAACAAATACATATCCCTCACACATCCCACATCTTCCTGCTATGTTGTCCATTTTCTGATCATTTTTATGGAATTCAATATTCTAGAAAAAGTAGTACGAAGAATACTGGCAAAATATGCCTTTTCAAATTCTCCATTTACTTGTATTCTAATATCTTCTGTTTTTCTTGATGCTAATTTTCACAAAGCACATTAAATTGATGTCTTATAATGAGAACATGCACTTATGTATATGATTGGGAAAATGTTTTCAAAATGTGCACTCTACTATGTAATGATTTCAACTTTAGAAAATCAACTTTATTTCATTAGGTTAATTCCTGCCTCCTAGAAATGTTCTATGTATGTCAAACTATTTCCAGCCAAGAAATAAAAATATTGATTTATCTATATGCAAAAATTAACAGGTATACTCTGTTCATTTACGGCACAATTAAATGTCATTTTGATAGCATCTATGTTAGAAATTAAAATATGGCATGAAATATTTAAATCCTAATGCAAAGCCTGTGAGGAAAATCATAAAGTGAACACTTTTAATTTATTTTTTATTTAAAATAAATGTGTTTGGGGCTGGGGATTTAGCTCAGCGGCATAAGCACCTGCCTTGCAAGCAGGCAGTCAGGAGTTCGATTCCCGATATCAATTAAAAAAATTAAAATAAATAAAATAATAGTGTTTTTAAACAAAACATTAAAATAAAAAGATGCACATTTATGGGATAACATGATATTTTTACGCATGTATACATTGTATAACGTTTAAATCAAGGCAAACATTTCAAACATTTATTATTTTGTGGTGAAAATTTTCAGAATACAGTATTTCTTTTTAGTTTTTGAAATGTATAGTTTATTATTATTTGTACTTATCTTAGTGTACACAATATAACCTCTTACTGTTAGGTAATTATAATGTAATACTCATTGATCAACAACTCCATATCTTCCTCTTCCCCCATTCTTCAGCCACTCTTAGACTTTGAACTACTCTGAACTTCTAGATATCAACTTTTATAGATTCTGCATATGAATAAGGTCATGTGGGACTTGTCTTTTCATGTTTATCTTATTTCACATGACATAACAATCTCTAACTCCATCCAGGCTGTTGCATATGATTGATTTCATTCTTTTTGTGGCTGAATACCCTGCCAGTCTATATAAGTACCACATTTCTTTTCCTTTCATCATTTGATGCATGCTTATGTCATATTTGTTTCTTCACCACTGTGAATAGTGGCATAATAAATACAGGACTGCAGATGTGTCTTCAATTGATAATTTTCACTTTCTCTGTTCATATATTCAATGTGGGACTGCTAGATCAGAGAAAAGTTCTACTTTCATTTTTGAGGCATCACCAAACAATACATTATAATGATTATTTTACATTATCCTCAAGGGTTCCCTTTTCTCAACATCTTTGCTAGGTCTTATTATTCTATCTTTATTATTTTTTTTTTCAAATAATAAACACTGTTAGAGCCATGAATTTGGCTCAGCACCATAAGTACCTGTCTGGCAAGCGCTAGGTCATGAATTTGATTTCCAGTACCAAAAGTAATAATAATAATAACTAATTCTTAGTGAGATGAGACAGTATCTAATTGCGTTTTTTTATTGCATTTCCATGATAATTAGTGATGCTAAATATTTTTTCATCTACTTCTTAACCATTTATATGACTTTGTATTCCTATTTTGTTCTATTGTTCATTATTTTAAAGATTTTTCTCTATTGTTTTTTTTTATATTCTTTCTATATTCTGGTTGTCAGTCCCTTGCCAGATGAAGATTGTAAATATTTTCTCTCATTCTCGAGGTTGTCTGTTCACTCTGTTTTCCTTTGATGTATGGAAACTTTTTAGTTTGATGCAATCCCATTTGTCTATCTTTGCTTTAGTTTCTTATGTTTGGGCATTTTATCTAAAAGCCCATGCCCAAGTGCCCTGAAGCATTTTCCCTATATTTTCTTCCAATAACTTCCTTGTTTTGAGTGTTATATATAAATTTAATTCTTTTTTATTTTATGGAATAGAAAAATAAATCAAAATTTTATAATAAAATAATAGGAGAATAACAATAGTCCATATATTGCATATTGTTATATTTAAAGTACTTATTCAGAGTACAAGATATGGACGTAAAATTTCTCCAATTGATATTAGTACAAATCTTTTGTTCCACTGAACTAAGAGACACTAACTGTATAATTGACTTGATTTTTTTCTTTTCCCTTTCTTTCTTTTCCTCTTTAGCCCATCCAAGTTGCTTTTTGAGAATAATTTCTTTCCATTTCACAATATCTATTGTACTTTTTAGAACTTATTTATTATGTCAGTTTTCTCACACCAGAGAGACAATACAATGTTTACACGCGTGAGTCTGATTTATTTCACTTAAGAGTATGGTCTCAATTTGCATCCATTTACCTCTAAATATCTCAAGTTTATCCTTCTTTTTGGCTAAGTAATGTTACATTGTATAAACAATCAATTTTTCAAATCCATATGTCAGTTGATGGGCATTTCAGTTGTTTCCAAGGTTTAGCTATTACAAATTGTGCTGCTATAAACATTTGTGCACATATATCACTGAAGTATGATATTTTTAATTCACCTGAGAAAATACCCAGAAGGGGAATAACTGGGTCCAATGGGACATCTAATCCTAGTTGTAGGAAGAACTGATTTTCACAGTGGTTGCATGAGTCTTCACTCCAACCAACAGTGGGGAGGAGTTCCTTTTTCCCCACAACCCCTTTAGCATTTGTTATTGCTTGAATTTTTGATGATTGCCATTCTTTTGGAGTAAGATAGGATCTCAGTGTTTTTCATTTTACATCTCTGCAATGATCAATGATATTGAGCACTTTTTTTTCATACCGTTATATGCCATTTGTATTTCTTTATCTGAGAAGTATATATTTATCTCAGAAGCCCATTTTTGGATTGGATCTGTGAATTTGAGGGTCTGATTTTTTTCAGTTCTTTATGTATTTTATGTAGAAATCTTTGGTCTGAGAAACAATAGGCTAATTTTTTCCCCACTATGTGGGTTGTCTTCACAATCTGTTGGTGATTTCTTTTGATATGGAAAAGCTTTTTGATAAGAGGAGACCCCAGTTGTTGATGCTTTGAAATTTTTCCTGTGCGGTAGGCTTTGTCCATGAACTCTTTTCCTATGCCTATGACTTCAAGGTTTCTATCTACTAGCCCTTCCAGTAGATTTATTCTTTCTCTTGTAATAATTATATTTTTGACCCATTTTGATTTTGGTTTAGTTTATGAAGATTGGCATGGTTCTAGTTTTAGTCATTGGCATATAGAGAGCCAATATTTCCAACACCACTTATTAAAGAGGCTATCTTTCTTCCAGTGAATATGTTTGGCCCCTTTTTCAAAGATAAGGTGGTTGAGTGTGTTTGTAGCTGTGTTTGCATTTTCTAATGTGTTTCACTGATCCTCATATAATACTCTTCAAATTCCTCGATAAAAGTGAAGAAGCAATACTCCCTAACCCATTAGTAGAAGCAAGTATTACCCTTATATCAAAACCACAGAAAGGCCCAACCAAAAAAAAAAAAGCTACAATCCAATTTCCTTAATGAACATAGAAGAATAAGCCCTCTTTAAGATAACAGGAAACAGAGTATAGCAAATCATCAGGGAGATTATACACCATAACCAAGTGAGTTTTATTCTAGGAATGAAAGGATGGTTCAACACATGCAAATTAATAAATGTAATATACCATATCGACAGAGCCAAAGACAAAAATCAAGTGACCATCTCAGTAAATTTAGAAAAATCTTCTGAAAAATTCCAACATTCATTCATGATAAATACCCTACAGAAAATCAGAGTTAGATGGTCTTTATCTCAATCTGATAAAAGTCATCAATGACAAGCCAATAGCCAACATCCTACTAAAAGGACGTATACTGACATTTTTACTCTAAAATGAGTAACAAGACAAGGATGTCCACTATTACCACTCATATTCAATATAGTTCTGGAAACATTGGCCAGAGCAATTAGACAAGAGAGAGAAAAAGGAAAGGAATAAGGATAATAAAAGAAGTTAAATTATCATTTTTTTTTTACAGATGAAATGATACTCTACATGGAAGACCCCAAAATTCCATCAAATGATTTCTAGATTTAATAAACAAATTTATATGTGTATCTGGATACAAAGTCAGCATTCAAAAATCAGTAGCACTCCTGTACACAAACAATAAAATCAGTAGGAGAAAAATTAGGGACAACATACTCTTTCCAATAGTATCCAAAAAATGAGATTGTGAGGAATTGATCTGACAAAGGAAGTAAAAGATCTATACTTTGAAAAAGGATATCAAAGAGGATATAAAAAAATGGAAAGATAAACCTTGCTATAGATAGGAAGAACCAACCTAATGAAAATGGCCATACTTCCAAAATTGTTATACATATTTATGCAAACCTGACTAAAATACCATTAGCATACCCTGCCCATCTAGAGAAAACATTGCTAAAATTCATTTGGAACCAGAATAATCCTAGAATAGCAAAGAAAATACTAGACAGCAAAGGAAAAGCTAGAGGCATCACAATGTCTGACTTGAAATTATATTTTATTGCTACTGTG